AATTTCTGGGTGATTTCTGTATTGGTATTGTCCATACTCCCTGCATTCAAGTCAACCTCAACAATTGAAACATCCACTTTTGCATTTATCATGTCCATTTTCCTGTGAAGCTGATCCAATGAGTCATTTATCTTATATAATGCAGCCACCAAAGCCTCTTCTGTCGACATTTCTCTTGGTTTCAAATATACTAGTACAAAAACAGCAACAAAAAGAACAGGAGGGCCTAATAATAGACCTCAACTGGATTATTACCAAGTCCTCCCAGACCTTAATGTTTTATCAACAGTTGACTGGTCTGTTTTTCCTCTTCCATTTACCATAACATTTGAAAGATTCAAGGTCAGTCCCAGAGTCTCACGGTTCTTAACTTGCAGCTGGAAATTCCCCTAGTCCAACTCTTGTATATCAACCAGTTTCAAAGGCTTCCACTAGGGGGAAACAGTTTCTATTTGTAATAGTCAATAGTATCCTCTTTTAAACAATCCAAAGTTAGTTTCAAATTAGTTTCAATTTTCAGTTACTTTTACTCCTTTTTAAAGCAGCCGGAGACAGTAGAAACAATGTATTTCTCTTATTTAGCTAGCTGTCAATGAACGTTCTAAGCGCTGTCAATGAACAGTCCAAAAGACGTCAGTCCTACTAGCAGCCCGTTCCCAGGGTCAGAGCGGCGGTGTTTTAAGTCTCTTCGCTCTCTCCTGCAGGCATACTCAATCCGCAACTTCCCCCTCTCTTCTCCTGCCTCCAAGAGGGGGTTTAATGTTCTTTACCGTTGGAAATTTGATCTTTTACAAAAGACCTTCCAGGACTCCAGCTTACAACTTCATTGCCTCAGTCTATTTTCAAAAAAGGGAAGGCGGACTTCCTGTTTTGAACCTTCCCGTTACGATACCAAATTAAACTTTTAGAAATCCAATTCTTCCGTTTCAGCTCTACTCACGGGTAATTACTTTAAAGTCAAATTGTCCACAGGAAAAGGTCAGCGCTCTCCGGCAACAGCTATGCGGCTTCGCTCCGTGGAAGAAGCAGACGGTTCAATGTACCGCGCCGCTCACCCCACGTCGCTCCGGAGCCCCAAAAACCGGGGTTCCCCACAAGTGGGGGAGGCGCAAAAGGTGCCCACCGAATCAGGGCCCCCCAAAGTTAATGGGCATTGCCATTCAAAAGATGCATGCACATGCCATGCCATATTATGCAGTGTGGGGCTTACCTGTCTCCCCAATATTTTATTCAAGTTGGCACCCCTGACTGTGGAACCATTTTTCTCCTGAGGGATTCATTCCTTTCCGGAAAATCTTCCAGGGCCACATGACAGTGGTGGACAGGGCTAGAGGCAAAGGTGGATGGAGCAAGAAATGCAAATTTTGCCTTTGTACAGTAGGATCATTTCTGTCTATCCTCCTTCCAGGCAAGTACAAAGAATTACCAGAGTACAAGGGCATATTCCAGCAAGGCAAAAATGCTCTGGATGCAAAGCAAAGCCAGAGTGTGCCTTTGTGGTTTGGGGAGACTCCCGAGGTTCAAACAAAGAGGTATGGACCCCTGGGCCTGCGGGTCCCTATCCCGGTGCTATGTCCTCCTAACAGGAAGTACTTCCTATCATACATCCTGTTTGCCTGTGATGCACTATGGTTGTTGACAGAATCAATATGATGACAATGTTTTTTAATTCACTATAACTGAAGTTGGTAAGCTTTCATGCCAGCAGCCAGCAATTCAAAAAGCCAATGGTTCTGAAGTAGGACCATAGTGCCTTAAGTTTGCATTTTTTTCATTTCAGTATTCCATTGAGCATGTGTGCTCCCAATGTGACAAATTGAAACTTGTTTTGCTGTCCTGGAGACAATGCAGTGCTCAAAAAAACAAGCTGTAAGAGATACCCCCAAGGGTTTAATGAAACATTTTCTTTAGACTCTGGGGAGTCATGCGGTCTCTGTGCTATCCCACCGGGACCAAGCTAAGAGAAACCTCCTGAGGCATGAGAACAAGGGGACAGTCCCTGAGCTAGTTCATAAAGGCCAATTGAAATATTATTTTGCTGGTAAAATACAAAATGAAATGCTTAATTTCTGGCTATTTTCATCTGAGCTACCAGGATGAATACTTATTTGCTTCTTCTACACTGACAAGAAGGCATGATAATCAGCAATCAGGACTGAACAATTTCCACACAAACCACAAGATCTAAAATAAAAATTCCAGTCAGCTTTTGTACATGGAATGGGTAATGGTGCCATCTTGTCCTTTGGCAGCAGAATATATGGTTTGTGCCCTGTATATATGCCCTTATTGTGAGAAGTTCTCATCATAAGAATCATTCCAAAACCAAATCAAAACCCAGAAGAAGTGCTTTTTTCCATGGTGGCCAACAGACTTCTGAACAACTTTCCTTTAGATATGGGGTGGGGTGGGGGTGGAGGTGTCTGTTTTCCATAAGAACTGCATGACATATTTTTGTAGGCCTTTAGTCAATGTAGAAGATTCAGGGCTGCTTGCTGTTCTGTTGTCTGATTTGATCTTCTTGTTTGTTTTGTTTTTTGCATAGTCCACACTACTATACACACACACACACACACACACACACACACACACACACATATATGCAGAAAGATAACTATATATTTTTAATTAAATATGAAGCAGCTGTTTCCTTGGGCATTTGTTTCTTTAAGCTTTGGGTTGTCTCACTTTCCAGCTCATCAGAGCTAGGAGTGTTAAAAAACAACAACAGCAACAACTAGTGCTGTGCCAGAGTTTTCACCGATGTTTTTGTTACTCTTCCCCATCAATTGATGAGAAAAAGAATTGTATTCCAACATTATCAAAGGGGAGAGAACTTTTTGGATGGGATATAAGGCTTTTGTTGTGTTTACCTTGCTTTCAAGGTGGTCAAGGACTTGGTCATTCAGGCTTCAAGTCATCTCTCCAGTGGTCTGCATCCTGCTGGCTTACCAGGTGCCTGAACTTCCTGAAAGCCCCATGGTGTCCTCAGCTGGAGTTCCCTGTAATCACAGGAACAGTGGGGAGCAACTTACCATGTGCCTGATGGTCTGTTTTCTTTCTTTCTTTCTTTCTTTCTTTCTTTCTTTCTTTCTTTCTTTCTTTCTTTCTTTCTTTCTTTCTTCTTCCACATCAGGGTAAAAGTTTTTTGTTTCTCTTTAAAGGTAAAAGGAAACACTTGCCTTAAAAACAAAACCAGACCATAATCTTTACTCAGAATTTGCCACTGGCAGGTTTGTTTTTTTAAAAAACAAGATTTTTAATGTGGGTATCACATCTCCCACACATTGCACTGGCCCTCTTGTCTGGAGTCCAGGGCTACTGAAGAAAGAAACTCACCATGAAGTTGATTAGACTTCTCTGGCTTAAGTCACCACTGAATTTTGCATCAACCGAGAGTTCAAGGCAAGTCCGAAGATTCCTGTTTGGAGAAATTTTCAGAGGAATATGGATGAAAGCAAAACATGTATTTTCATAAAACTGAATTAGGAGGGACTATAGTGGTACCTCGGGTTACATTTGCTTCAGGTTACATACGCTTCAGGTTACAGACTCCGCTAACCCAGAAATGGTACCTCGGGTTAAGAACTTTGCTTCAGGATGAGAACAGAAATTGTGCTCTGGCGGCGCAGCAGCAGCGGGAGGCCCCATTAGCTAAAGTGGTGCTTCAGGTTAAGAACAGTTTCAGGTTAAGAACGGACCTCCAGAATGAATTAAGTACTTAACCCGAGGTACCACTGTATATGTCTCAGGAATATTTTGCTCTAGGCCAAAAGTTTGGGCAACAAAATATCACATTCTCGTATACTAGCATGACATTAATGCCAAAGTGAAAAATGCAGCTTTTAAAGAGGGACGCAATTGTTGCAAATTCTGTTATGAACTGACCTGATCCTCATCTCCTGGACTAATGTGTGGGCCAGGACATAATTATCTACTGGCTTTCATACCTCCTGAATTTGTCAACATGTTTCTTGGCTCAAAAAACGCCATACAAAAAATCATTTGAAAAGTGCATGTTTATTTAGAACAGGAAATATATTCAGGCTGAAATCCTAACCCCACTAATTTGGGAGTAAGCCTCATTGAATTAAAGAGGGCTTATTTCTGAATAATCACAGTGAAGACTGCAGTGTTAGAAAATGTGCATTTAAATGAAGTGTGTGTGTGTGTGTGTGTGTGTGTGTGTGTGTGTAAGAAAACTGCAGATGAATGCAGAAGCAGGACAGGACAGATTTATGTTGAACACATACAAAGGAGACACAGGCTGGAAACAGGCTGATTCACCAATCTTTATTTTTACACCAGATCAGGATGCAGTTCTTGGGTTGATAGGTATTCCTCTTTTGTATTTTTCAAATCCATGCTTGCTTTCCCAAACCCTTTTGCTCCAAGGCTTCACACTTCACAACAAATCATTTGTGAATCTCCCAGGCCTGATTGTGTGCAGGGCAATTCTATCTTTTCTTCTTATTCCCCTGGTACGAGAAAGAAAAAGAAGAAGCTAAGAGTCAAGGAACCAAGTTAACGACAGAGCAAGTGCTGTTGGGGTTGCAAAGTCCCTGGCTCATAGTGGAGCTCAATAGAGCGTGCTACTTAAATAGCTGATAACTGCAAGGACAAGTATCTGTTCTCACTTGTATTAAATGTAAGCCTTAAACAATCAATGTTTCTGTGTGGGAGACAACATGATAAATTACGCATTGATCAATATCCTTTAGTGGATATTGGTTTAAAAAAGGTTTATGGGCAAACAAACTCCAACCATTTTCAATATTGCCCCCTTTCCCCCCAAATCAATGGCCACTGTAATTGCAAAGGGGAGTGGGGGGAAAAAACTGTAAGTAGGGAGAAGAGTGTAGATATTTCTAAATGGATGCAGGTATGTGAGGAACTAGTTAGCTAGGGCAAATACCTGAAGATGCTTTCATTTAATAGAATCACACAGTTGGAAGGGACCCTGGGGGTCATCTAGTCCAACCCCTTGCAATGCAGGAATATGCAGCTGTCCCTTATGGGGATTGGACCTGCAACCTTGGCATTCTCAGCACCACACTCTAACCACCTGAGCTATCTAGCTAATTATTGCTGTACCTAAACTGGGATGATCTAATTTGGCTGGCAGCAGATCCCCATAACCCAAAGCAGGTGGCCTACCTGTCATCCTTTTTCACTGGAGTTACCTGGGATTGAACCAGAGATTGCATCCATGCAAAGCATATGCTTCAGCCTTCCACAGATTCCCCTGTCCCAAAGTAATGGGAATTCTTCAGCAGTGTGCCTAATGTCCATGTGGAGGCCATCAACGGCCTTCTCCTCCATGAGTAGATTTCCTTGTCATGTGGCAAAGCCTCTACATTCATGTTGTTGCCAAGTCTTATAAAGCCTACAGACCACAACCCCTTCTTTCTGATTCATGTGGGTACAAATGATACTTCCAGACACAGCCTTTGACATATAGCAAGGGACTATGAGACTCTGGGCAGGAAGCTGAAGGGCCTTGAGGACACAGGTGGGTTTTTTCATCACTCCTTCCTGTGGCCCAGGAAGAGAGGAAAACGCTGGAAGTAAACCACTGGCTGTGCAGGTGATGTCGTCAGGAAAGGTTTGGCTTCGTGGATCATGATCCCTGCTTCCTTGAGGAAGGACTTCTGAGAAGAGATGGGCTGCACCTCATAGCAGTTGCCAAGAATGAAAAAAAGAGAAACCAAAATTGACACGTCCATCCATCTAGCTATTCATCCATCCCTAAGTCCAAGCTAGCAATAATTTCCATTGAAATTGAGATTGCTCTGGGATCTTTCCCAATTCCCACAGACTTGCTCACAGAAGAATGTCCTTGGAAACAGGGAATAGATTTCAGATTTAAATGATTAATCACCCTTGTATAAAGAGGAGATTTATATATTTTGCTAGTAAACAACAGTGTTTGGTTTAGTTAATCACTATGCATACCATTTTTTCTTATAGTGCATGCCTCACTGATAAAAACTCACTGTGTGCCACAGCTTCCATCTGTCACTAAACCATTCAATAGCTATGAAAGCCATGACTTCTGCTGTATCCCTCCTCTTTGAATTCCAGTGCCCATCCTTCCATCCCATAGCAGGGACAAGAAGAAACAGGATGGGAGAACCCATGGCTGCATCTGCTTATGACGGTAAAAGGAAGTCAGGATCTCCAGACCCTAGGGTGCTGCTGGCAACACTAGCCTCTGTACCTCTTTCTTTCCTTCCCTCCATCCTCTGATGCCCTCTCACTTCTCTGTCTCCCAAAGGCTTGCACAGCTGTTTCTGGCAGCAGCCCTGGTTACAAGCTCTGCAGGCGAATGGTACCTCTGGGGCTGGCCAGGTGGTGCTGGTTGCCAGGAGCTGAGGTGGCCATGGAGTAAGCAAGCAAGCAAGCAAGCAAGCAAGCCCAACCAGCCAGTCTGTCAGCCATTGCTGTTGGAAATGGACAGATAAGTCCCAGGCCCCTATGGGGCAGTGTGAGGAGGCACCTCTCTTTGGGGCGGGGGGGGGCAGATCAGAGACCAAGAGCAGCAGCAGTGGCTGCCCAGAGGACTCCCAATAAGAGGGGAGAGGAGGAGGCTTGTTGGCTCCATCCTGTGTTCACTATAGATTGGGAGTCGGGTGGGGAAATGAATGCACAAGGAGGAATTGCAAGAGTAGAGCCTTCCTTTCCCCTGCTTTTCCTACCCTTGCAGTTCAGGGGCAGAGAGAGTCCTGGAGCTACACACACCCCTAAACCCGATTGGACCAAGAAACAGATTGCCTGGGGTAGCTAGCAACCTGATCCTCCGGAGGCTACAGATGATGGACAGCACCAGCTCATTATATGCACCGAATCCAAACATTGCTTTGAATATTCAAACATTGCTTTGAATATTCATTCAGCTCTAATTTCATTTTGACCAAGAAGGAATCACTTTCTTTCCTCTCCCCCCCCCCCACCTGACCATTTCTGAGCTCCACGTTGCTTAAGGGACTTGGCCACAATGCCCTTGAAAGTTAATGGACAGTTTCTCATTATCTTCCACAGGCTTTGGATCACAGTGAGATGCATGCGTCGCTCCAAGCCATTCTGAGCTGCCTCTGGGGACTTGCAGCCTACACACAGGTGTTTGCATATTTCCCTGCATCCCCAGCTGGCATCTATTATCCTGAGTAGACAGGGTAATTATTACGTGAGGAGAAATAACTGACTCAGCACGGACAGCAAATGAAAGACCCTCATCCTTGCCGCGGTGTTCAGAGGAACAGCATTAATTATGATGGATTTCTTGTGCCATTCAGGTAGCTGTAAATAGGGAGGTTCCTTGGATGTCCCCGTCCTCACCCTCATCCTTCATAAATTAGCATCCATCATTGTCAGATAGGATACATCCTTGGTTGACTTTACAGGTCTCAAAATTACCAGCTCCTAAAACATGGAGGTGGAGAGAGTATATCTGTTATAGAAACAATTAAATCTTTAGACTCAGGGCATCCAAACATTGCAGACTACAACTCCCATTAGTGCCATCCAGTATAATCAATGGTAAGGGATGATGGGAGCTGTAGCCTACAACAGCTAGAGGGCAAAATGTTGACTGCCTGTGTTTTAGGCTCACTTAGTAGAGGCTAGGGACGGAAAAAATTATTCTGTTTGCATTTTAATGAGGAACTTTAATGAGGAACTTGCACTTCTTGAAATGGAAACACAGCCATTCTTAGAAATGCACACCTCTTCAGATTTTGCAATGCAGTTTTCCAAATGTATTCAGAAATGCATCAATTAGGGGAAAGTGTGCATATAATGCATTATGTGAGGATGGAATTTCTTGCAAAAATGTGAATATTAGGCAAAACTCCATCCGAAAATGTGTATTTAGTAGAAATTTGCAACAGAATGTTGATAAATGTTCATTATATATACATATACATACATGCATACGTGCATATATTGCTGCAGCAATGTGGAGAGCTGAATTTAAGATGGGAACAAGGAGAAACTGAGAAAAACCTAAATAGTCAGATCTAGTAGTGCAGAGGCATTCCGCCATTAATGATTTATTAAATGCTTCCTTGCTTTATTTATTATTTTTATTACGCTGTAGTAGTACAGGCATCTTCCCCTGGAGAGTCCTTGTGGCTCACGAGGATGTCAGTGAGGGTGGAGGAAGCCCCAAAGAGATGTCAGGCATAGTGGGGCTTTGTTTAGGCTGCTCAACCTCCCTGCCTAACAGCTGGCATGCAGGGTAGCGCAGCTGCCACAGCCACTTTCCTGTGTGCCCTCCAGCCTCCAGCCAGCCCCAGAGTTTCATCCCTAGCTGAAGGAAGAGTTTTGTGGGGAGAGAGCAGGAGAGAGAGTTGGAGAGCAGGGGGAAATAGGCATTTAGAGACATTGTAGAGGATGCCCCCCACTTTACGCAATTTCACTTATGCACTTGGGAGGATGCTTGCACAGATCAGGAGCAGCTAGCCTGCATTGTTGAACCCCAGCTCCCATCATCTCTGACCACTGGCCATGCTGACTGGGGACACTGGGAGCTACAGGGCAGCAACATCTGGAGGGCCACAAGTTCCCTGTTATAGTCCCAAGGCAGGAAGTGTCCCAGGGGAAAGAGGATTTTTTGGATCCTCAACTCTGAGGGTGGAGAGAAAGATTCACTTTGAGAGAGAGAGACCTGACCTTGTGACCAACTGCTGGAAGGCTGCAGAAAGGTTTGCACCCAGTGTTTCACTGACATTGGAGTTCAAACATCACAGAGGAGGGGAAAAGGTGCGTCAGGAGCTGCTGTGGGGTACTGTCAATTTACAGGATGCCAATGCCTCTTATTTTCTAGAGTGCCCTCTTAAAGGGGATAAGCTACATTGATAGAGGTAGGAGGGTTTTGTTTTTGTTTTTTTAAAGCAACCTCCCAGCACAGGGGGGAAATGGGGAAACAATCTCTCCCATGCACACTTTCTACCTTACCAGCATGAGCCCTTCAGAGCAATGGAAAAATTATTTCTCTTATCTTTGTTTCTTCCATCCTACCCCTTTTTAGGTTGCGCAGTAAGTCAGCCCCATAACCAAAGTTATTGTGGCAATGGAACAGTTAAACACAGCTTAAAATCTGCCTGGAAATCCTTGCTTCTGATCGAGGATCTTAGAATTATAGAATCAATAAATCTGAACAGTATCTTCAAGGTCAACTGGTCAACCCCCCTGCTCAGGGCTGGATCTTCAGTGCAAGATGTGGGGACATTGGAAGCTACCTTATGCTGAGTCAGACCATCAGTCTGTCTTGCTCATCTACACTGATTGGCAGAGGCTCTCCTTTGTTTTGACAAGTGTCTCTCTCATCCCACCCTAGATATGCCAGGGATTGAACCTGGGTCCTTCTGCATGCAAGGCAGATACTCTACCACTGACCCATGTCCCTTCCTCGCATATGGTTCCACTTGGAAGAGGCAACTGGAGCCCTCCTGTCTCTCCAGCCTTTGCATAAATACCTCCAGCAAAGACACCTTACTTAGTGAATAGTTGTTTGTCAAGACTGGGAACGAAGGGTTGTAGCCAATGCTAGTCCTACTCAGAGTAGACACATTGAAGTTAAAGGATATGATTAAGCGAGGTTCATTCATTTCAATGGATCTACGCCAAGTAGAATTTAGTTGGATACAAGCCAAAGTTAATAAGAGCCAGATACAGCCATGTTCCATAACCAGCAGCCCACGGGAAAGTAGTAACAACATACATCTTGCCCTGGTCAGCAATTGAGGTGTCAGGACCAATATTTTATGCACCAGGGGCATCTAAAGTCCTGGAATTTGTCCCCCCACCCCATTCTGAATCATAGCATACCAACAAAGACCTGGGGGAAGGAAAAGAATTCTCAGACTCTATTTTTTTAGAGCTTCCCCAGCCCCAGAGGAACTGCGACATGGAGGGTTCCACTTCGAAGATTTTAATCCGTGAAAAATGGTTTTAATACCGAATGTGCTGCAGGGATATTTGTTTTACAACAGCTTGAGCTCAAGTCAAATGCTTTGCATTCCCCACATCCAAATGATTAATAAGCAGACAGAGAAACTCAGAAATGCAAAGGAAGG